CCCCCCCCCCCCCCGCACGAGTGGGTTGCCGCCGTGCTTACTCCATCTCTAAACAAGAATCTTGTAGGGCATGTCATGAATCCCCCCCTCCCCTCCCCTTTCGTGCTGTACGCGACCCCCACCCCCGCTACTCCCAAGGTGCATGCCTTCGGGGAGGTGGTCAGGCGCATTTGGTCCCCGAGCAACTTCAAGAGCGCCGTGTCCCCCCACGAGTTCATTCAGGCGGTTTCCTACGCGTCCAAGAAACGGTTCCGGCCCGGGGTGCAGGCGGAAGCGATCGACTTCCTGGCTTGGTTGCTCAACTCCCTCCACCAGGTAGGTGGAATCATAGGCACCTTTTGTTTTCTGTTCGGAATCATCTGCTTCTGTTGGCTGCGACTACTTTTGCTGTACACCGTCCGTCCGATACACTCCCCGCGGGCCCTTGCTGGTTGTTTTTTTTTTGCTTTTGGAACCGTGGTGGTCGGTCATGGACGGGTGTCGGTCAAAGCTCTAGCAACGAAGGCAGCAGAGACATGACTACGCCTCGCCCCTGTGACTTGAGTTTTCTTCCCCTCCCCGCGCATTCTCGTGTGTCGTGGGTGACTTCTACGGGTCCTGCGTGCTGCTGCTTGCTGCTGCTGCTGCTGCTGCTGCCGCAGGGATTAGGCGGGACGAGGAAGGCCGGGAGCAGCGTGGTCTTCCAGACATTTCAGGGGCTGGTGGAGGTCGAAACCCTCACCAAGAAGAAGGCAAGTTTGCTATGGCGCGCGCCCCGCGAGATTGATTGAATTTCCACGGCATCCGAACCAAGCCACACGCAGCTGGGGTTTTGTTCTCAAACGCCGGCGGCGGTGGTGTCGGTGGCGGTGCTGGTGAGGCCCCGGGCGATGTGGGGCTTAGCGCCGATGCGGAGGGGCGTCAGTTTGTCGCGGTCGTGAGTGCTTTTTTTCGAACGCGCAAGCGCCATATCGCTGGCAAGCGCGAGGCCCGTCGTCATCCTGCGCATGCGCGCTGCGCGTGTCCAGATCTACGGACCCTAACTCCCCTCCCCTGTCCTTACCCTGCCCGTTTTCTTTCGATTTGCAGAAAGCAATCTTGGACGATGACGACGAGGAGGGCGGGGGTGGAGCAGGGAACGCTCCTGGGAAGGCAGGGGCGGCGGCGGCGGCGGAGGACGAGCTGGTGGGTTTCGACGAGGCCGACTGGGACAAGAAGAAGGCGGAGGTGCCCTTCTTGTGAGTACAGCAGTGTTCACTTTTATGTCTTTCGTATGTATATTTGTATTTGTTTTTCAGTGAAATGGCACATCACAATCAGAAGAGTTTTGTGTGTAGTCAACATCCCGCAATGTACGTGGCAATTGTATACGTTCCCGAGTGAATGAAGCAGGGCGGCAGACGCAGAGAGACAGACAGACAGACCACAAACAGCCAGAGAGAGACGAAAGACAGCTGAACAAACCTGTCTTTCTATTTATATTTGCAATGGACGCATATGTGTGTGCACGCTGGTACGTGCCGAATCCACCGTGGGGTCCCCTCACGCCGTTCACGCTGCTTGCTTTCCCTGTCCAGGCACCTCACCCTCGACATCCCGGCGACGCCTCTCTTCAAGGACTCCCAAGGGGGCAATATCATCCCGCAGATCCCGCTCTTCAAGGTGTTGGACAAGTACAACGGGGAGAACTGGACGGTGAGCAAGACTTGCGCTGGACAGTCGATAACATGTTTTTTTTTCACTTTGCGGTGTATTTAGCTGCAGTTTATTGTTTTTACCGGTGAGTTGGCATTTGTGTCGCCGAAAAGACTATACAAGAAAGAGGCTGCGATGTGGCTGTTTAAGCTGTTGCTTGTTATTTACCGGTAAGTTGACATTTTGGGTTGCTGCAAAGACGATGTCGGAACGAGATTACTCGTTCGCTCCGTTCGCTGACGCGTTGGCTTCCTTTGCTGTCTTGTGGTCTTGTCTCCTACCACCGCCCCCAGGACGTGGTGAAGGGAGGGGTGCTAACCCGCAAGCGATACGTGCTGCGACGATTACCCAGGTGCGCGGCGGAAGCTTGGCCCCGCAGGCAGCGCGCGCCTTCTTTTTTTTTCTTTTTTGTGTTGTTGTGATGTCCATTTTTGGTGGTGGCGGGGTTGGTGTCAGTGGGTGTTTGTGCTGCTGCCGCTGTCACCAGGGGGTACGGAAATCCAGACGACTCGTACGGCACGTGCATGCTTTTCGCATTTTTTTCGCAGGAGGCGACCCCGTTCAATGGCAGCACTACAAGCGTAGCTCACCTCTTTTGTCATGTCCCGCGACAAGCAAGTAGTGGTCGTCTCGATGTCGAAAAACCAAACAAGCGTTCATTTATTCTGACAGGTACCTGATCTTCCACCTCGCCCGCTTCACCAAGAACAACTTCTACGTGGAGAAGAACCCGACCATCGTCAACTTTCCTGTCAAGAACCTAGAGCTCAAAGACTGTGCGTTGTAACTCAGCGGCCTCACTCCAATTTGTGTTCAAGTTGTGGTTGCCTTGACCCATTCTTTGTCGTCGTAGCCTTGATCCTTTTTGTTGCTCGGTGGCTGGTGGCATATTTGTGTTAAGTTGTGGTTGCCTTGACCCATTCTTTGTCGTCGTAGCCTTAATCCTTTCTGTTGCTCGGTGGCTGGTGGCAAAGCAGTGTCAGCGGTATCTACCCATGGTGTAATCCCACGTGTCGTCATTATCCGGTGGGCGCGTAGCATGGATGTTGATCGGGGCTGCTACTTTTATGGGGTTCAGGCGACAGCAATCACAACTATTACATCAATGTAGTGCCCGTGGTATCCCTTTAGTTAGCCTTTTGTCATTTATCCGGTGGACGCGTAGCCTTGTTCCTGATCGGGACTGCTGTTTCTACAGTGTCCGGACGATAGCAAAGCGCAACCGCAACCGCAACCATATCCTCAACGTTGCTGTCGCAGGGCTGCGAGCCGAAGACCCCGGTCTGCCCAAGGAGGAAGACTTGGCGGGCATGTCGATCAAGCAGCTCAAGGCACACCTCAACAAGTACTCCATTTCCAGCGAGGAATGCGTCGAGCGCAGGTGCCCCCCCCCCCCCC